AAAACTGTCCCAAAACATTTCATTGTATATAATCACTAGATATTTAAGTAAATCAGCATTCATATTCCCCTCAGAAAAGCCCCTTTAGAAAAATACTTGTGTATCATGTAGAATGTCTGTCAATAAGATACAGGGGAATTGGTTATGAACTACGGCTAAATATAAGAAGAGATTTAGGAAGCATTTGTTATACCTTATTCTTACTGGAAATCAGGATCACAGGACTGAGCAAGAGGAAAAGGGCTGGTAGGATTAGAATATTTTAATATTTTAGGATCAAGGCCATATTTTTATAACTCCCACAGTCCTAGAGCAATTCTTTGTGTGTCTGTGGCATGAAAGCATAAGGAAAGAGAGAAGTGGTGGGATTTTCTTGTATTTTCAATGTGGCGATGAAGTGAGAGCCAGTCTAGAAAGACAAGGCTCATATTTCTCGATGCTTCTCACTTAGAGTGCTGTGAGGCTCTTTTGTCCTTCCTCCTTTTCTCCTTTCTTCTCCCACAAACATCACCATATCACTGCACATCAGGTATCTGCTAAAAGAGTTCTATTGCAAGCTATGCAAGGACAGGGACATCACAGCATTGGATGTGGTGTTCCTTACATGTGACATTTTAAAATGTTGGTCACTGACTACATAAACTCAGAAGATTCCTTTTTTCTTGACCCTAGGGGAGTTTGTGGACTTGGAGAAAGTTGTATTATAATTCTGCCTTAAGTATTTGGCTTTTCTAGAGGAAAAAGAGAGAGATGAAGGACAGCATAGACTCTGCCCTACACAATTTTATTGTCTAGCGGGAGAGACAAAGCCACATAGTCTGCAAAGCAATGCTAAACAGTATATCTTTATAAAATTGGGACAATAAGGCATGTGGTTCAAACTGTGAGTTCTGTAAGAACTTAAAGATGAGGGAGCTCAGTGAGTACAGACTGTATCAGATCATGGGTCTCCACGGATAGGACTTGAGATATAGTTTATAGGATGGGGAGTGCTTTAGGAATGAGATCTATTGTCCAAGGTCCACACTGGAGCTAAATGCTGTTGGGGAGAGATCAGAGTTCACTAGAGAGCAGGTTCAGACTTTTGCTACTCTCACTGCCCAGATGCCCAGACTTGTAAGGATACATTTGGACTAGAGTTTCAGCCTAAAGAAAGTGATGCCACCAGTTGGCAAAGCAGCAGAACCCAGCGAAGTGTCATGCTTGTGAGGATAAAGCCTGGGACCAGGGCTGTTTATACATGTGTAGAGTGGCATTACTTTGCTGGAACAGATTTTTTCATTTTCTTCTGAGCAGGTAGGTTCATGATTCATGATTTCCAGACAAAAGTGGTGGTTTGTGTGCATAAGCCATGGCAGCCAGTCTCCTCTTTCCTTCTGGGCACAAGTGACTGGTGCTTTCTTTATCCCATAGTTTTGTGTAGGCATAAAAACAATTCTGTTTCATTAGTATATTCTTTCTACTAGCAATCTTTCTTTGTCACCTGCTCTCATACAATACTGTGCTAGAGTGGGTTAACCACCCCCCTCCCCCAAATTTCATGTTTTTGGCATCATATGGTAAAGCACTGAGTGGACAGGTGGCTGTCAAAAATATTATGAGGCTCTATGGGTAGATGTTTAGCCTCTAACATTAAGGATTTGCCAGTTGCTGCTATCGCAGTGGAGGTGGACAAATGGGAGCATGTATTTATTAAACAAGTGCACTTGCCACACTGGCCCTTACACACTGCTCAGATGATGAGTTCTCTTAACCCTTAAAGTTGGGAAGAAGCAGGGCCAGAGTGTTTTGTCTAATGTGTTAATTTGTGTCTTCTGAGAAGCAGACACTGGAAAGAGATTAGTTGTGCAAAAGATTAATTGGGGTAAACCCTTTTAAGGGAAAATGGGAGGGAGACTGAAGATGCTGGGACAGCTGTCAGACTTTGGTACACCTCCAACCCCTATGGAAAGAGGGAAGGAAGAAGGCTGGGCGAGAGAAGGTTTAGGCTGTGGTGCAATTCTAAGAAAGGTTTGTCAAGGCTGATTGAGCATCCTTGAGCCATTGTAGCCCTTCAGGATACCTTCTCATTGTTAGTACACCTGCTGTCATTGTTAGTACACCTGCTGTCATGTCTGTGGCTGGCCTCAGCATGAATTTGGCCATGGATTCCAGAGCACAGAAGCTGAGACCATAATCATCTGCACTTCTCATAGTGAGAGATCTGAGAGTTTCATTTTTGTGGCCATTATATCAGGTCACCTCTGGCAGCAAGCAGCTTACTTCATTTCCTCCAGTGTACCTTTTCTTGAAGGCTGGGACCAGACCTGGGGCAGAGGTCCAGGCAGTGTCATTTAGATTTTGAGATCTTGTATGAATTTAACCATAGGGGCCCAGGTACCAGGCATTCATTATTATGACAAATACTTGTTTTCTCTGCTTGGGAAAAAAACAGTGGACACTTCATGTTTACTTTTTGTTGTTGAATTGAAAGCATATTGAAAAAATAAGTGGCTCACCCTCTGGTCATTTCGAATAGTATTAATACAGGTTCTTTCTACTCAGTGCCCATATAGACATTATCTTGTGCTTCCCTTCTTTATATTGCACTTGTGTAAAAAGCAGAGGACATAGTATCATTTATGATACTTGCTAAATAATTTTTAGAAAATGCATCCTTCATAGGCAAAGAGTATTGGAAAAGTGATGTTCTTATGCAGTCACCCTACACCACTTGCAGTGTAGATAATGTGTCTTCCCTTCTCCCTCCTGACTAGTTTTTTTTTTGTAGCCATTTGAAACTGCACATAGAAGGCTGACGACTATTCTATTACGGATCAAGCACTCATGGTGGTTACCTATCCATCACTTATTTTCTCTTGCTAACAAAGGTTGTAACACAATACTTCTCACTATTATGGAGGAGTGGGCTAAATACTGAAGAATAAGTAAGGTAAAAATATTCTTGAAAGAAATATGTTTTCATTCTCGCCTCTCATGCTAATTTGTTCTCCATATTGTTGCCCAAGTGATAGTTCTTACATAAAAATCTGATTGTTTTACTCTCCTGCCTAAAGTCTTTCAGTAGTTCTACATTGCCATTGATTTAAAAATAAAAACGTCTTAGCATGGCATAGGAGCCTCTTTATGACCTGGCCCCTGCCTATGGTCTGTAGTCTAGAGTTTCTCTCTCTCTTGCTTTCGCTCTCACTCTATCTCCCTCCATTTCTTTTCTTACACCACTACTTACTGACTCTCTAAATTCACCAGATTTCTTAGGGCCCTCTGTGTTTATGTTTATATTAGTTAGGTTATCTTAGTGACTGTTAACACAGAAACACTAACATTTCAGTGACTATACAACAAAAGTTATCTCTTCACTCACATAATAGTCCAGTGCAGGGTCTTTCTGGTTGGTGGATGGCTTTCCCCCGCCTGGTGTCTCAGGGCAGGATCCTTCGTGTCCTCCTCATCCATCTGATAAATGGGAAAAGAGAAGGGAGAAAACTTACCTGCTTCTTAAATATTGTGTCCCAGGAGTGGCAAATATCACTTTTCCTTAAATTCCATTGTTGAGAACCCAACCAGATGCAGACAACCAAGAAACACAATCTCTGGCTGAGTAGTCACTTTCCAGAAGCTATTCTACACATTGGCAAACATAATCCTGGGGAACTTTTATCTGTCTCTGCTGTTACTCAGGTGCCACCACCCACATGTGCAGCCTGGATCCCAACTCATTCCCTGATTCAGCTCATCTGGACAAACCTTATGAGACCTTTTAGGATTCATCTAAAGCTTTGCACCATTCAAAAGGCTTTAGAGTGTCTCCCCTCTATACTCATATAACACAGAATGCTTACCAGCTGTCATAGCACATATTACATCGTATTATAATTGTTTGCTTATGGGTCTTTATTTTATAAACTTGAGCTCCTGTAGGACTGGGACTATATTTTTATTTTACATCTATAAATGTCTGGCAAAAAATATGCAAATAACAAATATTTTATTAAGTAAATGAAAGGTTATTGGCTTCACAAGAGAGTGGTAAAACCTCCAACATTTGATGTTTTAAAGAACAGATTTTATCTTTAGATTGGATTTATCTTAAAACATATAAGTTGAGGAATGTATAGGCCTCTGAAGTTTCTTTTCTTTTGTTAATAAATCCATAATATTAAAAGAGTTCACCATTATCAGATTACTGTGAGCATCCTAACAGTGTTTATAAACTTAAAAGTCAAGGATTATTACTTGGGTTCAACTCTTCACTAAAAGGAATGTTATGACATTATAATACATTTAGCTATGGGTAAGCTGAAAACTGATTCAAAATTGTTTGAAGAATTTAAAGAATGTATTATGTCACATAGCAAAAAGTTTAGAATTAGGGTAGCTTCAGAATAAGTTGATCCAATGGTTCAGTGAACTCATCCAGGACCTGGATTCTGTCTGTAGCTCAGTCCTACCACCCTCAACATATCGACTGTGTTTTTGAACACTTGAGGTCACAGATACCTGCCAGCAGAAAATGAGGAAATGTGTTGCCTTGGTCATGTCCTGAGGGAGAGAATGAGAACACCTTTCACTCAACCATTGTAGATAAATGATTACCTTTAGTCTGATGGGACTGTCAGATATATGCTGATCTGTGGACTTTCCCCAGGGGAATTCCATCTCTGAACTGATAGATTACTCAGCATCTGTCACAGAGTAAAGATTTTCTTGAAGCTTTTGTGTGGATAGAAGAGATTGGTAGTTCTTCTCTCCAAAATTTATGGGTCCATTAGGAGGAAAACAAGAGGAAAATATATGCAGTAATGTCCATCACGAAAATTTAAACAATACAACCTATTGAACTAATGTCTGTAAAAGAGTGAACAATTTTCTAAACTAGGCAATGACCCAATTCTTTCCTCTGCCACTTCTACAAATTCCAAATCACATGTTTAAAAGTATCCAATAGTGAACATTTTACATTGTGTTCCTCTAGTGAAATTATTTATCCTTTATTTTAGGTCTCATAATGGGATTAATCTTAAGATATGCTACAGCACCAACTGATGTAGAAAGTGGAGCTGTTTATGATTGCGGAAAACTGACCTTCAGTCCATCAACTCTACTGATTAATATCACTGACCAAGTTTATGAATATAAATACAAAAGAGAAATAAGCCAGCACAACATCAATCCTCACCAAGGCAATGCTATACTTGAAAAGGTAAGGATTCCATCTGGTCATATACTTTTGTTTTCCAATATAAGTAATTGCATCATATATGAGCCACTATGTGCAATACAGTCACACACATATATATGCTCTTTTTTAACACCATACTTTTGGGGCGATTTTGTTGACTAAAGGGTTAATACTTTGATATACTCTTATTGTAAGCCCAGTTATCTGTAGTTTTTACTAGAAATTGGAAAAGAATGCTTTTTCATATAATTCTTTTGCAAGCCATAGTTATATTAGGTAAAAATATGTAGTTCAACTGACTCTGACTTTCACAATACTGATTCAACTTTTCACATGTGTGTTTTAAGTATCATTTTATATATATTATCAGCTGGGTACTGGATTCAAATTTTCCTTAAGTCAAAAGGAAAATGTAGGGGTGGGGATAATGAAAAAATCTACACTTGCAAACTTTGATCTAGGATGCCTAGCTTTTGGCTACCAGCACAAAACTTTGTTGTTTATAAATACACTGGCAATAGATCAGTCTCAATAAATCTTGACTTCATCAGTTTAGTTAGGGGAACTTTAGGTAGAAAAAGAAAAATTTTGAAGTGACTCATCTTTAAAAATGATTTTATTATTGCAAATTTGTTAACTGCTTCAAGTATTGGAAGAAAAACTTCCTTCTACTCTTAGGACTCTGGGTCAGAAAACAGGTGAGATTGCCTTTTGTGGTTCCCTGTGTGTTATGGATCAGTCTTTGGAATAAGTGAATTTGTGTTTAACAATACAAGTATGTGCTAAGAACCAGTGTTTCACATGACTTATTCCAGATCCTTTTAGATCAGAGCTGAAAATGTTCTTAATATTATGGAAGTGTATTTTATTACTTTTATCCTATATGGATTTAGTTCTCTTTTAATATATACCTTCCCCCCCCCCCATTTTGAGAGCTTTGGGGCAGGAGGAGAGATACTTGGTCTGCCATTTTTCCTCATTAAAGATGGGTAACTTTTTTTCCCCACATTATCTTCCACTAACATACTTCTGGAATAACTTCCTTCTAGTACTTGGTGAGACCTCAGGAAAGTCAAACTAATCATAATATTAGCCTAAATTAAACTTAGAAAAGTAAATTAAAGCACACAAAAAGAAAATTAAATAATGTATTTCTGAAATAAATAAGAGCAACTTATATCCTGTTTTGAATGATCTCCTCCATGTGATTCTTTCTGTTCACATGAATAATAGAAAATCATGTATCTTGAAATACTCAATTTTTAAAAATGAACTTAGCAGCATGGATTTTAAATAAAACATACTCTTCAGTTTTACCTTTGGTTTAGTACCTAGACGAAAATTAAGTATTTCTCCCTTACTCTTTAACCTATTTTTATAATCATTATTAAGCAGCACTTTTCTTCAAATAGGTTGACCCCAAAAGATGCTGATAATTATCTCTGCTACTATAGTAATTTTGTTCTCTAATAGGATTGCCAACAAACACCTGATCAGAAATTTTGTTTCTATATTATTAACATATTGATTCCTTTACCAGCAGCCAAACTCCAGTGTTTGCTTTTGAAAAATTAAAGCAAGAGATGAAGAAGGTGTATAAGTTGCTAAGGCCCTCTTGTTTTTTTTTCATCAGGTAGATTATGAGTTCTAAACAGAAAATGTTTAATTGACCTTGAATGGCATGTGTATTTTCTAGATTAACTTCTAAATCATTTGACTCATTAAGTCACAATTAGCATTTGTTTTTCCAGACATCCAAGGTTGGCAATGGGTGACTCAATACCCAGAGTACCTCTTGCCCTCATTTCTGGTGGGGAAAGCAGCGTCCACTGGTACACTTACCATATTAGGTGACTTTAAGTGGAAACGATCTTGTTACGAATTGTCAGAGCATACCTTAGTGAACAGTTGTTGCTTATGTACCAATGTTAGGGAATTCTAGTGAGTGTTTGAAAATGAAAAACCCATAGTTTATCTTCCTTATGGGAAACCTCCACTGAATGCAGCTATTCTTATCAATCAATCAATCAATCCGTGTCAGATGCAAAAGGTTTCTAAAACAGAGTCCATTCATTGGAAGGCTTATAGGGAGGTAAAAAGGAGTAACAGGACAATTAGGACCAGACAGATCTGCCATACATGCTTAGCAAGTTTCTTGAATTTCTTAATCTCCAACTTTCTTATTTGTAAAGTGGAGAGATTAGAACTTTTTTTTAGGATTGTTCTAATGTTTAAATGAGATGATACATACAAAGTGCCTGGCTACCATTTGGCTCTTTACATTTCACTGCCATCACTGCCTCTACTACTACTACACTACCACTTTTAATGTCGCTGCCAGTACCCCGGCTGGCCACCGCAGTCTCTCTAACAACAATGCTGCTACTGCTGCTGCTGCTGGTAATATTTGACTGTTTAATATATGTCAAGGATTAAGAAAATGTGTTTGCTTTTTTATTTATTTAGCATCTGTTGGGGGAGATAAAACCAATGTATGATATATGCCTTTATATAATTTAGTTCTAAATTATATCATATGAACTATGAGGACTATAAAACTTTACAGATTAGTTATCACAGATACTTGAGCCTGTTAGGGAGCCTTCTTGCAAGAGGTGGCACTTGAAGTGTAGATATGTTTGCATAAGTAGTAGGAATTGAGTTCAGAATGGTCACTGGGCAGGATGTATTGGAAGGTGACTCTGTGGGGTATGGTTATCTGAGTGAGAAGGGAAGTGGGCTTTATAGACTTGTTGGATCAACAGAACCTGCTTAATAAGTAAAAACAGTGTGAACAGAAGAATCTAAGATTTGAAAGTGTTAGACGTGGCCAAGAGAATATGACAATCCCAGGACAGGGGAAAGAGAGAGAAAGAAGATTTGAGTATAAGAATGGGTGAAAATGACCCTAGATCTGTATATAGAGATCATCTAATTTAGAACAAGAAAGAGACCTGACCTCATTAAGTTGAACCCTATCGTTTCGTAGATAAGTGAAACAAGAACTTAAGCACTAAAATTGATTTAAGTCAGTGGTTCTCAAATATGTCTGCAGTTTAGAGTCACTTGAAGCTTCAAAAAATCCTGATGCTTGTGTTCCACCCCTGGAGTTTGTGATTTTACTGGTTTAGGGTATGGCCTGATCCTTGGAATTTTTAGAAGATCACCAAGTGATTCTAACGGGCAGGCAAGTTTGAGACCATTGATTTAAGTCCTATGTTGTGTTCAGGTGAATATGGTGAAAAGAGAAATGTCACTTTTGTGCTTCTTTCCCTCACCTCCACTGCTATAAATTTACCAGCCGCTTTTACACACAAAGCACTCTCATGTCAGGACCTCTACACATGTCATTCTTTTTGTCTAAAATGATCTACTTCTGCTTTTCAGATATCAGGGTCCTTCTTATTTCTAGAATCTTGGCTTGAAATGTCATCTCTTCAATTTTCTCTCACACAGTAGTGTCTCTCTCTCTCTCTCTCTCTCTCTCTCTCTCTCTCTCCTTTTCTCTCTCTCTCTCCTTTTTCCTCTCCTTCTGTTTTGTTTCAAAGTACCTAGCACCATCTAAAATTATATTTGTATTTTCTTGCTTGTTAATTGTCACTCTCATGTTGTTTATTGTCTACTGGACAATAAACTTCACAAAGGCAGGGACCATGTCTTTTCATTGACCATTGTATCCTCGAAGTCTATCACAGTACCTGATGCATATTGCTGCTAAATAAACACTATATGAATGAATGAATGAATGAATGAATGAATAGCTTTGAAAACTTGTTAGAACATATACAACTAGAGTATTTGGAAATTATCATCTGAGAATTGGTAGAATTTTAGTGTCCTAGATGCTTAATTCTTGAAGAAACTAGGATATTACCTAATCTTAGGTAATACATACAGATAATACATTTATATCTAGAGAAATTATATGTTGGATCCAGGGTCCCACTACTGGTCAGAGGCAGAATTGGGACCTATAGCACTTTACCCAGTGTTCTGAGTGATTTATTGTACCCCACACCACTGGACAGGCTCCCAAATGGCCCTGTGGACAGAGAAGGACAGAGCATCTCGGGTTGAGGCCTGGGGAATCTCATAGTGAGATAGATAGAAGAAGGCAAGGACCAGTGCTGAAAGAGAGGTTGGTCGTTGTGCAAGAAGAGGTCCAGCACATTGGCGTCACAGCAGCCATTGGTGCAGCCCCACTGAGTCCTTTTTCTTAGAGTACAGATTAAAGAGACTATTTGGCCTTTGTTTCTAAAAATTAGAAACAATTAGGATGAGGAAATGATTTTTGCTTTCAGAAGAATGTAATTTAAAGGCTTGAATGTAATTCCTAACTTCAGGACTTGGAAAAGCTGGAATGAATTTCTGTGCATGTAATCATCTTTTGGAAGATTTGTAAGAGCACATGTATTTCTGGGAGTTAGGTACTGATATGCTAGGAAATAGCACCAGGCTTGATGATTCCCTGAGTTCCTTCTAAAGAGAAGGTATGAAACTGGTACATATGAAAACTGTTGATATTGATATAAACAGCAATGTACTGTGCTTTTATGGCATGTGTAAACATACAGAAATTTCAGGAAATATTATATGCCTAGCTTGTTTTGTTTATGCTCAATATAGATCAAAGTATAAAAAAGAAAAAAACTGATTTCATTTAAAGATTAAAGAACACAGTATTTTCCTATACTTTACAACCAGCAGATGATCGCAAAACAACCTTCTGAGAGACTAAAAGTAGACCATGTTGATTTGTATTTATCCAGTCAATGTTTCCAACATCATTTGTCAAATCGTTCTGTGGATGTAAGGTGTCCTTAACTACTTTTAACTGAATGGGACCTATATTCTATTACATGATAGCTTTATAAACATTAATTTGTTATATAGTATTTAGGAATATCAAAATGTCTACTAAGCATTTCTGAATTTCATATCAATAGGAGGTTTAAAACTTACCTTTGAAGTCAGATGATAAAATAACTTTCTCCATTATTCATTTATTTTTTCGATACTAA